GCGCTCTCACTCTCGCTCTGTTTTTGGCGACTCCGAGCCCCTGAAGGCCTGGCCTCGACCAGGAGGTCCCCTACGGCGAGACCCCGTTGTCCCGGTTCATCATTGATGGACCTCGGGCTTAGGGCTTAGGGTTTATAGGGTTTATAGGGTTTAGGGTTAGGGTTGACGGGGGTTGTGCTGGTTGCTCACCCCATCAACCCCGGAACCTCTACCCCTTTTTTCTATTAAAGCATAGAACGTGTATTTCTGAGCTTCCAAGTGGGAGTCGTAACAATTCTGCAGTTCTGGTCTCTGAGCTGCATGACAATGTTAGTCTAGGACAACTTCCGTTCAGGTGAGTGGGTAGGTAGCTAGCTAGCTTCCCCCATGTACACCACCCCTTTAATTTTCACCCCCTCAAAATCACCTCTTCACCATACTACAAGTCACTGTACCCTACTTGAACTCCCCCTCCTGAAGCTGTCCTTATACTTGCATTCAGGATGGCCTAGACCATGCGTGGCAAGGGACTCCAGGACGTAGCCACGGCCGGTCACGAAGCTGACCTGCAGTTGAAGCGCTGGTTTTCGGTGCAGGCAGGTGTCTATATATAATTATATATATATATATATATATATTAATATATTAATATATTATAGTATGTATATATATATATATTATAGTATGTATATATATATATATATTATTATATTATATTATACTATATTATATTATATTATAGTATGTATATATATATATATATATATTATACATATACCGCGCATTAGCTGAAATCGACATGTTGGCCTTGGAGCTCCCGATCTGACTACCAAAACTGGTCCCCAAGCCGAACCGAACTCGACCCTGCAGACAGCACGTCGTGAAGAAGACGTTCATGGCGCTCGCGCACACGCCCGTGCGCGTGCCCTGTAGATGAGAATTTTATGTGAGGCCAGCTCTCCGAAAAGTGAGGCCATTTTGAGTCTGATTCCGAAACATTGCGAAAGTCCAAACGAGAACAGCCCAAGAAGAGACAGGCAAGTAAGGTGTCTGCACTTTGAAAGCTGAGCACCGAAACCCCCCCCCCCCCGCCCCGCCCCCAAAAAAAACCGCAAATCCGCAAAACATCCCGCAGAGCCTCCACGTTGGCGCCGAGCTGTGGATGCACGGTCAGTGTGGTCTCGTGGCTCATGGCCTCGAGGGGGAGGGCGCTTGATGTGCTTCTGATTGCCGACATGGAGGTTTCCGAAGTTAGGGGGTACCTTATTGGGGTCCTTCTTATTAGGGAATCCCATTTGGGGGTCTATATTGGGGGTCCCCTATTTTCGTAAACTCCCGCATGCTTTCACGCTGTTTGCCGACTGGTCCTGCTCCGGGCAAGCGTTGATAGCTGTATCCAGAATACCTGATTTTTGTCCTCATCGCCAGCATGCGCACGAGCCCCCCCATAAGTCTCACAGCGTTTACACCCGCGGAGAGAGAAGGTCACAGAGCAAACTGCAAATTCCCACTCCACACTACAAAGGCCTACTTCGACTCAGAGAAGCGCTTACCCCCGGCCGGCCCCAAACTTTCGGCCCCAAACTTTCAAATGTAGAAATGCTTAACCGCGCGAAACGTAGAAGCCCCAAATCTGCAACCCTATGAGCCTTGCCCTAAACCAAGGCCTACTAACACCCGAATCTCTTGTCTCTGAAAACCCTACAAACCCAACAAAACCCTACAAACCCCGAAGTGCTGTAACATAAACCCAAAGCCCCATCGGCAACCATTTGCAAACCCGAAGAACACTACTACGCCCGAGTGCCCAATCCCTTTCTGCAACCGGGCTTGTTGACTTCACCCCTGCTCCCCTAAACCCTAAGAACCCTACACCCTAAACCCTAAGAACCCTAAGTACATAACCCCAAGCCCAGCCTCCCTAGTAACTTCGGTCTTGGTGGAGGATGCGGCCCCTGCATCTTGAGGTTGGCTCGATGGGCCTGAGCTTGGATGCTTCCCTTACCCTAAACCCTAAACCCTAGACCCTAGACCTTAAACCCTAAACCCTAAACCCTAAGCCCTAAACCATAAACATTCGAGAGAGGTGACAAAGGGCTCTGGCTGAGGGCCTGATGGGGCCTTGGAGTTGAGGGTATAAGGGTTAAGGCTCAAGGCTCATTCCCCCTGAATTTAGGGTTTAGGGTATAGGGTTTAGGGTTTAGGGTTTAGGGTTTAAGGTATAAGGTTAAAAAAACAGTCCTTGCACGAAACTCAGAGATAGTTCGCCCTGCCTCTGATGCAAGAACATCTGGACTATAGTAACCCCAGAGCCCACACATGTAGAAACACTCTCTAGTGAGCTGTGCGGTGAAAGGCCTCACATGGAGCCTGGTCCATGACATTCCAAAACGAGCTGTCCAAGGCGGTTTCGGGTTTAGGGAACTTTGCGCCTAAACCCTAATCCCTGAACCCTGAACCCTAAACCCTGAACCCTAAACCCTAAACCCTAAAACCTAAACCCTGAACCCTAAGCCAACAAAACCGTGGGCTCTCGTGGGATGCAATCGGGGGGATGCAAGCCAGGGAGGCTCGATTCGGCCCACTGGTGCTTAGTCACTAGGACATACTAGGAGTATGTTCTTTCTGTTACTTTAAGGGAGGAGTTGGTTTTGGCGTTTGTTTCTTTCTTTACTATTTCTTTCTTTCTTGTTTTCTTTCTTCGTGGCTCCTTCTCTCAGTCATGAAAATGAAGCCTTTAGAGGAGGGTCAGAAAAACCCAGGTTGGGTTTGTGCCGTAAACTCTGGACTCCTGCCCCCTGAGGTCTGTGACGCTTGCGACATTTATTGGGCCATCCAAGCATAAACGCTCAAAGGCTGCGCTGTGTGGCCACATCTTCTTCCAAGCAACAGAAGCTAGATCAGGCTGCGACACCCATTCCGGAACCCTACTTGGCGGTCCATGGGTAGCTCTAATCGGGGTTATAAGTACCCGAGATAAGGAAATAACCAGTTACAATTCGAGTTACCCTACTTGTAACCCCACTTATAAAATCTTATAAATACCCATGAATCTCCAAGTAGTCCCTCACACACCCCCGAACCAGACAACCATCGCTGATCGACGATGCTATGCTTCTCGAGGCGAAAGGGGTCTGCTGCTGAGGGGACTGTGAGAGTTCTACCTATACTTGTTGGACTACCCCAAGCCCTGCTTGAACATGGGTAGTTATAAGTGGGGCTAGAAGCAGGGTAACCATGATTATAATGGTATCTAAAGGTATGTAACCTTATGTAGGGTCCTTGTAATCTATAACCCCACTTATAACTACCCATGAACCTTCAAGTACGTAGACTCGGAATCTATTATTTGCTTAAGAACCCCCGAAAAATATAAACAACTTATGGGGTTGGGTATTTCAGGGAGTCTTTGGGGTTGGGCACTCCAGGGAGTCTCTGGGGTTGGGCACTCCAGGGAGTTAGGAGTAGACCGGGCGAGGAGAAGAGTTCCGGGCGAGGAGAAGAGTTGAGTTTAAAATCTAACAACCCCACACCGAAGGTGGGGAATAGTTATCCCTGTACTACCCTTATCAGGAAGAATAGTTTTTCTTTTATTTGGGGGGCTCTTAAGCTGCCTTCGTAGGGTTCTGGAGCTGCCCCTGACTTCCGAGGAGGGCCACCAGAGCCAGGAGGCTCAGCTTAGGATCCGGCCACTTACCCTTCGCGCGGCATTTGCAAAGGCGGTCCTCGCCGAAAGATGGCGCTGCTCTGTCAAAACAAACCGATGCAAAAGATGTACCCTAGGACCTACACCTTGGGATGTTCCCCTTATGCTGACAGTCCTTAGTAGGGATTATCATAGGGGTACTAGAACCCCTATTAAGGACTGTCAGCATAAGGGTGAACATCCCAAACTAAACCCGAAACCAATGTTTACTTCAACACCTCGAACTTCCCGGCTGCCATGACAGGAAAAACAGAACCCAGGACTCAATCTTCATCCCTTCCACTGCCAATTGCTTAAGAGCCCCCCCAAAGCAAAAATCCCTTATAAGGGTAGTATAGGGGTTTTTTCTTAGTTTTTTGGGGTTCTTCAGCAAACAGTAGGCCATCAAGCAAGGACGAGGCAGATTCTAGCAGATGTTTCGGGCTTAGGGCTTATTGGGTTCAGGGTTGAGGGGTTGTGTGACATGTGTGGCTCTCATGAAATACTCGCAACGGTGGAGGCGAAATAACCTTCAGGGTCAGCACGACCCTTTGAAACCCTTCTCTGAAGAAGGTCCGGCTCCAGCTGAAGCCTTTCCGGTCCGCTGGGTCCACGGGAAGTTCCATCAGGGGCGAGCCCGGGGGATTTCTAGATTGGGCAATCGTTCCTTTGACCCCCCAATCTGACAGTTTGTGCTTAGATCTTCCACTTCGACCAGCAGACTCGGTTCGTACGAAGGGCTTTCGTTCGGGCCTCGGGACCCGCAAATGCCGAACGCCTCTGAAAATCCCCGATGTCTCCGTGTGTCAGGTTGACAGCCTCAACTTAGCTGGCCTGGCAAGCACCTCTGTTGAAGAAGCTATGGCCTGTTTCGTTTCATGTTGGCCACCTACCGTTCAAAAACTGCGGGCATCCGAAAAGCCTTGTGGCATCACCGACATGCTTCTTGTGTGAACTTGTGTGAGCAACGGGGCGTCCCAACAAGCAGCTGATGTTGGGCGCCTGCTCGCTCACTCGCCCAGGTAACTGAAGCCCATCGAAACCCATCGAAGGAGGGCACCGCAACCATAAATTCTAAACCCTAAACTAACCCCTAAACCCTAAACCCTAAACCATTTGGAAACCGGATTTGAGGACTGTAGCCTTATCTTCAGGCAAGCCCTGCAAACCAAATCCCTAAACCCAACACACTAAACCTTACGCCCTAAACCCTAAACCCTAAACCCTAGACCCTAGACCCTAAACCCTAAACCCTAAACGAAGCTCTTTTCTCCCTAGCTCGCAGCTGTGAACTGCAGGCCGTCGCATGGACTCTTGGTTCAGCCTCGGCGCGCTCTCAGTCCAAAGCCTCAACATCCTCAGCGTCAACGGGGGGTGGGCTTCCTACTCTCAGGGTTGGGGTTTAGGGTTTAGGGTTTAGGGTCTAGGGTTTAGGGTTTAGGGTTTAGGGTTTGGGGTTTGGGGTTTGGGGTTTGGGGTTTGGGGTTTGGGGTTTGGTGTTTGGGGTTTGGGGTTTGGGTTTTGGGGTTTGGGGTTTGGGGTTTGGGGTTTGGGGTTTGGGGTTTGGGGTTTGGGGTTTGGGGTTTGGGGTTTGGGGTTTGGGGTTTAGGGTTTAGGGTTAGGGGTTTTCTTGCCACCCGCCTAGCTGACCTCTCTGGGACCCCTCCGCAGGGAACAGTCGTGGTATCATGGCTGACCCTAAACCCTAAACCCGAAACCCTTTTGAGCAGCGGACTTTGGAAGCTGCCGGCAAACCCTAAACCCTAAACCCTAAACCCCAAACTCTAAACCGGGAAAAAAGCTCCGATCATCCCCTGCCTACACTGATGTCCACACAACGAAAAACCATCAAGACGTACCCAGCAACATACAAGGCAGGGGACTCATCCAGGCTGAGGGTTGAGGGTTGAGGGTTGAGGGTTTAGGGTTTCGGGTTTCGGGTTTAGGGCTACTTGGAGAGTTACGGGCAGTTACGAATTGCAACTGGTGTTATATCCCATGTGGGTACTTATGACCGGCGAAAGTGTTGAACGAATGTCTTGAGCGGTTGGGAAACTAGGAGCTTGGGGGAAGGCCCCAGAGGTTTAAGTAAATTGAGCATCTGGCCTTCGAGGGGCGCCTTGGATGACTCCAAATAAACTCGGCTTCTAAAGACAAATAACAAAGGAAACTCAGAATGATACCACACTTCTCACCCTACATATAACTACCCATGAACCTTCAAGTACTACTTGTAATCCCCCGCGGATTATGGAGCCCTCTGGGTGGACGGCAACTGGAGGACCTTGCAGCATCTCTTTCACAAAGGGAACCTGTGCCATGTGCTTGGAGGTTCCGGGGGTTGATAGAAGTGAGCTATTTAGGGTAACTGCTTATAACCTTACTTAGGGTACTTATAACTCTGCTTATAACTACGTGTGCCATGTGTGTCACAAGGTGTTCATTGTGGGCGGTCGCCGGAGTAAACAGCTCTCTCAAGTAACTAAGCTCTGCATGATGCGGGGTTGTGCAGGGGGCACGCTTCTACCAACGACCATGGGAATCAATTTGAGGCCACCCTAAACCCCAAACCCCAAACCCCAAACCCTAAACCCTAAGCCCTAAACCCTAAACCCTCCACCTTCTGTTCCAAGTCCTCCAGCCGCTGCCAATCGGGAGCCCTGATGGCGTACACCTGGCAGAAATCGCAGGGGCTCGCTTGCAAGCGTCCTCTTCCGACAACATCCCTGTACCCCGATGGCCTACCACTACTTGAAGGTTCATGGGCAGTTCTAAGTAGGGTTATAAGTGTAGTCGCCCTACTTACAACCCTACTTCTCGCTACCCATGAACCTTCTCAAGTATCGCCGGTCACTGAGACATCCTGACAAAAGGAAGGGGCAGGCCGGCTCTTCAGCCTCACCATATGGGGGGTTTAGAGTTTAGGGTTTCGGGTGGTTTCTAAGTTCGGGTCCCCTCAAGGCCCTGAAAGGGTGCCTTTTTGTACTGAGGCCTCTTACGAGTGGAACCCGAAGGGTTCAACGCGGATTTAGAACAGCCGAGTCTCAAACAAACCTAAAGCAACAGTGATCGAGTGCGGGAATACTGCAACCTTTGGGCAAGCCTTCTTGAAAACATTGAAAACAATCCCCAACTAACCATGAGTTAGGAGACTCCAAACCCACCTTAGTTTAGGCTTTGGAGGGTTCAGGGCAACCCCTTTGTCATGGTTAAACCCTACTCAAACTCTAATAAACCCTAAACCCTAAACCCAAAACTCTAAACCCCAAACCTTTCTTTTCATGGTTACATCGCAGGCCGGCGGAACGCGCCAGCCCGCTGCGACAGCCGCCCTATACCTGGCATGTTTCGACTTAGGGTTTAGGGTTTAGGGTTTAGGGTTTGGGGTTTAGGGTTTAGGGTTTAGGGTTTAAGGTTTAGGGTTTAGGGTTTAGGGTTGCTGACACACAGACTAGAGAAGTACAGCATGCAGCCCAGGGTTCCCCGCAACCCAGCTTTCCAACAGCCTGCGACTACAGCGACAACAAACGCCCGAAGGGACAGCAACGGTTTAGGGTTTAGGGTTTAGGGTTTAGGGTTTAGGGTTTAGGGTTTAGGGTTTAGGGTTACGGCATCGAACTTGATGGAGCCAGGGCTATGTTTTCGGCCAGAGCACTTGCTGCAAGGGTTGGGAGCAAGCTTACAGAGTTTACGGGCTCAGGATTACAAACCACAACCTTCAGTCCTTAATAGGGATTATATCACTGAGGACTGTTGGTAGAAGGGGCAACATCCCAACATGTTGGGGTTGAACCTTCCGAACATCTGGCCAGAACGGCATTCGTTCGTTGCACAAGCTTGCGGAACATTTCATGAAGCAGCAATGCTTCCAAGCTGCCTAGTCCCCTGAACGAATTCCAGCCTAAACCCGCAGCTTCCTCGAGTAGAAAGCTGTACTTGAAGGTTCACGGGTAGTTATAAGTAGGGCTATAAGCACTTGAAACCCTGCTCATAAACCCCAGGATCCTCCAAGTAGGCCTAAACCCTAGACCCTAAACCCTTAATCCTAAACCCCAAGTACAGGGGCCCACGCTTCCAGCTTTGGAAGGCAGAGAGCTTCGTCCTCCTGAAGTAAGTGGCACCTCTCAAAACCGCAGGCTGCACTCTCACTGGCTACTTGGAGGCTCATGGGCTGTCATAGGTAGGGTTAGAAGTAGGGTCACTATACTTCTAGCCTTACTTCAGGGTACTTCTAACCCTACTTCTAACTACCCATGAACCCTCTCAACTAGGACCTGCTGGAGCCAGGGGAACCCTTGAACCGTGAAGGAGGGAAGGAGAAGCACATGGGGGGGGGGGGGGGGGGGATAATATAGGGGCCTGAAGAACTAGAATAGGGTTCTGTGGGGTCATTATCGTAGGTAGTAATTATTCCGACCCCTATGGTCTTCTGGCATGGGATCTCAGAAAAGGGACCAGGGTTGAGGGCTCAGGGCTTAGGGTTTAAGGTGAAGATGCCACTGGCGGAAAGGCTGGCAGGACGAGGATACCCAGGTACGGGCAAGCTTGACAGCAAAGAAACCTCACCCTGGAAATTCTGCACTCCCTTGTTCCGCCTGCATCTGGATCTTCGGCGCTGAAGACCGCCTTCATCGCCTGAAACATCAGCTATTGAAAAATGAAGCGTCGGTCACGTCAGTGCAGCTCATGCAACTCACAGCGCCCGGCAAGCACAACATGGAGGGGTGTACCAAAGTGAGGGGACTCTGAATATAGACCCCACATAGTAGGATCCCTTGAGAATAAGGACCCCACAAAGGTACCCCCTAATTTCGAGAACCCCCACATCGGTGGATGCACACCCAAAGCGCAGTCGACAGCCAATGAGGCCCATGCATCACTCGACAGTGGGAAGAAGGCACCGCCAACTATGGTGCCCTGACCTCGGGCTGGCGCAGTGCCATTTTGTGATTCGCAGTCCTTTTTGTTTGCATTCACAAAAAAAGGGGGAGGGGCTACAAAAGCAACAAAAAACCATGATGATGATGATGATGATGATGATGATGATGATGATGATGGCGATTAGGGTGCTGCATGATGCTGATCAGGAGGAAGGCGATGACGATCATGATGATGCTGTTGATGATGGCCGGGATTGGGTTGGCCTGCCGCCCCTCGAACGCTGAGCGCGGGAGCATGGGAACGGTGCTGGAACTGAGTATACAAAGCCTCCTCAGGCACACCGTCCAGACAGTCTGCGGACTGATCAAACTGTAAGGGTTTAGGGCTTACAGAGCTACGGTTCGAAGCATACCTCAAGACAAGTCCTCGAGCTCTAAACCCTAAACCCTAAACCCTAAACCCTAAACCCTAAACCCTAAACCCTAAACCCTAAACCCTAAACCCTAAACCCTAAACCCTAAACCCTAACCCTAAACCCTAAACCGTAAACCCTAAACCCTAAACTCTTGCGTCTCGAAACAGATTCCAAAGCTCCAGGCTGTGGGGAAGCTCACACGCATCCAACACCTCTCCGGCGAAGTGGACTCATGATACTAATCGTAATACGAATAATCATAAACATCATAGTAACAATAATAGTAACAATAATAATACGAATAATAGTAGTAAAAATAACGATAACAATAAAGAAAAACAAGAATCATAATAACAAGAATAATAGAAATAGTAATAGAATTTTTAATAGTAATAAGAAGAATACAACAACAACAACAACAACAACAACAACAACAACAACAACAACAACAACAACAACAACAACAACAACAACAACAACAACAACTACTACTACTACTACTACTACTACTACTACTACTACTACTACTACTACTACTACTACTACTACTACTACTACTACTACTACTACTACTACTACTACTACTACTACTACTACTAGTACTACTACTACTACTACTGCTACTACTACTAATAATAATAATATAACAGTAACAAGAATAATGGCCATGGTGCTGAAAGTACTAGTACAAATGTGCACTCCAAGCTAGATCAGCTGGCGAAGCCTGCGAGATGTCGTGCTCCATGCTGGACAAGAAATCCTGGGGCTGGCAACTTGTTTTTGTTCCTTTTCATATTTCTTTTTGTTGTTCATTTTGAACATGCAAATCGATCATTTTGACAATGACTTCTTGTATGGCTGCTATTTGCGTAGGTCCTGCACGACTTAGATGAACCTTAATGCCTAAGGTTAAGATCAGGCTCGCTCTTACGTCAGGCTGCCGCCTGGAACTTGAAAGTGTAGGACTCTAAACCTAAACCCTAAACCCTAAACCCTAAACCCTAAACCCTAAACCCTAAACCCTAAACCCTAAACCCTAA